GAGCCCTTTGCTCCGCTCCCCCAGGGGGTGCATTTCTGGGTCAAAAACTGCAATTCCTGGCAAAGAAAAGCTACAAACAAAAGGGCCCTTGGTTGCAGCAGAGCCTGGTGTTTTCCATAGGGAATGGCTTCTCGCCCCCGCAAAAGCTCTTACCGAAAATCCCCGGCAGCTTGTTGGGGTGCGGGAGGTCGTTGGTCTTTTTGGGCTGTCGCCTCCGCGGGGCCTTGGCCGCCCTCGTCACGCGCGCGGGGCCGGGGCTCGCCCGGAAAAACGTCACCATGAAAGGTTGCTTGGAGCGGGGTCCCCGGCGCCCCAACAGCCCCGCCGAGCCCGGGTCCACGCTGTGCCCTGTCCAGAGTGAAAGATTGGGATAAAACAAGGAGAAAAAGAGGAAAAATAGAGGAAATTCGGAGCTGTGGTTTTGGCCGGATCCCCTTGGAGGTGCTTTTTTGTGCCCCTCAGCATCGTGACACTTGCAAATGGGGTCTCTGGAGCGGATTTCATGCCATGGTGAGAAGAGGGTTAATCCTCGGTGCACACAACCCAGGAACCCTCCAGGTAAGGGGTTCATTAAGCACTAATGGGGTTATTACCCCATGGGAGTGGGGGGATGGTGGAGTCACCATCCCTGGATGTGTTTAAGGAGCGGGTAGATGAGGAACTTAAGGATATGGTTTAGGGGGTAGACAGGAACGGTTGGACGTGATGATCTCAGAGGGCTTTTCCAACCGAGCGATTCTCTGTGTGTGTGTGTATATACAGCCCACATCCATTAGCATTGAGCAGCTTTGCCATCACAGCTTCCCTGTAACCCCAAATTCTGCCCCCCCTCTTTCCGCTGTCCTCCATCACAGCTGGAAATCTAAACCTGCAGTGATACAAACCCTCCCCAGCACCAAGAGGGGATGGGAGGACCCTGTTTTGGACATTTCTGGCCCCGAATGGCACGAGGGGCTCAGGCAGTCGTACCGTCGTCCGTCTCCACGTACAGCCGCAGCCCCAGGTTGTATTTCCTCTCCACCAACCAGTGGTTGCTGGCGGCGGTGACGTCGAACACCAGCCAGCCCTCGGTGCCACCACGCAGGTCCTGCACATCCAGCAGGAACAGCTCAGACTCCCTGAGGAAATGGGGGAAACGAGCAGGTGAGTAATGAGACCCAAAGGGCACCGGCCATAATTCGTGGCAATGACTCCTCGGTGACGGTGTCTGTACAGGTCCTGGCACAGCAGGGTCAGGATGGAAGCTCCCAGTGCCTGTGGCTGTGCTGGATGGGATGGTGGTAGCCACTATGGGAGAGAAGCATCTTCCCAGCCCCAGCCAAAAAGCCAGGGTGTGACATTGCCAATGGGAATGCACGGGAACAGCCGGCTGCAGCGGTGCTGCTGCCCTCGGCGTATGCATGATGGTGGGAAGGGAAAGTGCTGGGCTCAATGGGGGCCCCATCTTCATCCCCATCCCTGTCTCCATCCTCATCTCTGTCTCCATCTTCATCTTCATCCACATCCCTATCTTTACTCCCTGTCTCCATCCCTATCCCTGTCTCCATACCCATCTCTGTCTCTATCCGTCTCCCTCCCCATCTTCATCCCCATCCCTATCTCTGTTCCCCATCTTCATCCCCATCTCTGTCTCTATCCCCATCTTCATCCCCATCTGTCTCCATCCACATCTCTGTCTCCATCCTCATCTTCATCCCCATCTTCATCCCCATCTCTGTTCTCCATCCCCATCTTCATCCCCATCCTCGTCTCCGTCCCCCATCTTCATCCCCATCTCTGTTCTCCATCCCCATCTTCATCCCCATCTTCATCCCCATCTCTGTCTCCATCCCCATCTTCATCCCCATCTCTGTCTCCATCCCCATCTTCATCCCCATCCCTGTCTCTATCTCCATCTGTCTCCATCCACATCTCTGTCTCCATCCTCATCTTCATCCCCATTTTCATCCCCATCTCTGTTCTCCATCCCCATCTTCATCCCCATCCCCATCTCTGTTCCCCATCTTCATCCCCATCTCTGTCTCCATCCCCATCTTCATCTCCATCTCTGTTCTCCATCCTCATCTTCATCTCCATCTCTGTTCTCCATCCCCATCTTCATTCCCATCCCCATCTCCATTCCTCATCTTCATCCCCATCTCTGTCTCCATCCCCATCCCCATCCTTGTCTCCATCCCCATCTTCATCCCCATCCCTATCTCTGCTCCCTGTCTCCATCCCCATCCCTGTCTCTGTCCCCATCCCATCCCCATCCCTGTCACCTGTTGGCGTGCTCGGTGGCGACCTCGTAGATGCTGAGGTGCAGGGTGCTGTTGGCGTGGCGGGTGACACCTCGTGCCTTGTAGATGCGAAATTCAGCGGCCGTCACCGCCTCCCCCGCGGGCACCTGGGTCAGGTCGAACCTGAACTCCTTCCAGTACGGCTTCGGGGAGGAGATGTCCCGGTCCTGCTCCACTGCGGAGCAGAGGGGTCAGAGGGGCTGGGGTCACCCTTGGTGCACCCCCCGGACCCCTCCATGGGCTGACGAAAACCTGCAGCCCCCACCAAATCCCACCGACCCCATTTGATCCCAATTTGGGGGTCCTCTCTTAGCTTTGGGCTGACAAAAATGTAAAGTTTTGCAACCTACGCAGATGGGGAGGGGGAATTGTCAGGTCACTGACAAGAAATATTAAAAATTAAAACTAAAACTTCATTTTTACTGAAAATACTTTCTGCAGAAATCCAGTGCATATCGGGAAAGGAAAAAAAAAAAATCTGAGTTTTAATTTTTTTTATTAAGTCCATAAAGAAAATAAGCACAGCCTTTCTCTATGGTAATGCAGCCCCACAGAGTTTCTCTAATATGTAATTATTTCCTTCAAGTTGTTCCTTAAAAACATTCCACGGCCAAATAGAAATTAAAGTGATTAAAGCTCCTCCTGCTCCAGGCACAAAAGCAACGTAACAAACCTGACCCGGTGCTTACTTTTAAAACAAAAAGGCAAATAAACCAAACAAATCATTAAATAAACAAAAACACGTGGTTTAAATACAATTTTTAACCTATTTTGGAAGGGGAAAAAAAAATAACACAAACCCTAAACCATTCTTAATTTAATGTACCATAAAGCTGCCGTCTCCCTTTACACGCTGGGAGCATCTCTGCAACCGGAACGCTTGAGATTTTTAATTATGTGGCTCTGGGTTGGTTTATTTTTTAAGAAAAACACCCAAATTCCCTGCAGCTTCTGGGCTCACCACAAGTTATGGTATAAAAAAAGCCCGGGGCGGATGCGGAGAAAGCTTCCTGCTCCGGCTGCGGGTGGGAGGATGCTGCGGGAACCCAGTCCTTTGCGGGGGGAACATCGGCCCCAGACCCCGCTGCAGCCCCAAGGG